CTTTTAATAAAATCTTGTCGTGGTTTTTTTTTTTTTTTTTCATTTGATTGTGGTTGGATTTTGGGGTGTGGGATTTTTTTTTTTGTTTTTCAATAGAGTAGAGTAAAATGCTTTTAATAAAAACTGTCTTCTCCACAACAAGCGTCACATGTTGAAGAAAAATTTTTTAGGATAAGTATTTAGGCCAGGGTAGAAACTTAGAAAGCATTCTTATGATCAGACATATTAAAACCAGGTTATTCAGAGCACACAGGGAAAATTATTGTGCATTTTATAGCAAATGACATCAGTAATTTGCTACCATTAAGTTTTGTTAAATTCACAAATAACAAAATGTAAAATAGCCTTTTAAATCTGATAGAACCTGGTCACTTTTATTGCATTTCTGAAAGGATCAATCTACTATGTAAATTTCTTTAAATCTATTTCCAATCTATGTAACACTTTTAGAATTAGAACTCAGTATTTCAGAAGGTGTTTTAACTATTATCATAACAAAATTTTATTCTTGGCTCTGAAGACCTGCTAAACCTAGTATCTTAAGATTTCATTATATTCAGTAGTTGCTTTCTTCTGTTCTTGTCCTTTGTGTTTTCAGAATCTTTTAACCACTGAAGGCACATGAATGTTGGATTGAATTTTAGTTTAGGAGTAGGTGGGTGGTTAATCCATTGATGTTCAAGGGAATGGCAGGTTTGCTCCCAACATCGTGACCTCTCAATTTCTTTAGAAAACGGTTTTCCCTTTTTGATGTACTAGTTCTATGTACTATTAAAACTGTTTCAGGCAACACCAACAGAAAAAATCATGGCTATAATTCATTAGCTCTTTGAGATTTGTTAATCTATGTGCTACATAAAAAGGTGTCTAATCCTTCTTTCTTCAGTCTTTAAATATCACATACTATACACTGTAATAAAGGAACATTGTCAAGTTAACCATTCATAAATTGTGGAATACTACAATGAATTGTTTATGGTTGAGCATGTTCAATTAATATTATATTAAGTACATGAGCTGCTGCTTATGTTTTTTTCCTCTGTTGTTCATTGTGCAGGATGGACAGGATTCAGTGAGTGGGAAATTATTAAATGTGCTTTCACTCATTCAGCGTGTATGTTGTGCCGCATGTGTTGCGTGTTATGCAGTTTTTCCTCTGAATAAACACAATTGTTTTCATATTTTCTTGCTTTCTGTGCAAGTGTTTAAAAAACACTTTAATCCTATTAAAGCTATTGAACTTACTTTAAATATTTATAGAAATTGGACCTCATGTGGCTCAGCAGTGCCTTGCTGCAGGTGTTGCGAATGAGGCACTGTGTTGTTCCCCTGCTGGGGAGCGCATGAGAAAGTAGCTTTGCAAATGGGGATTGACCCTGCGGCAGCATGGAACCGGTGCAGCATACCTTCCCAAGGATGTGAAGATCCGTGGCGTTTTGGAGAAGCCAAAGTTCTGCCCATTTTTCTCTTCTCTGCAGGAATATGGGAAACACAATAGAAAAAGTGTTGCTGTGGTAGACTAGGACAATCACTCAAAGTATTGCTCAGCTAATACAAAGAAGTTCTTGCTCTTTGTGAAGGCACTTAAGCTTGACCACAATATTTTTAATCGAAAGCAAAATGTAATAGCAATAGTCATGTAGTATTATATTGGAATGACTGCCAAAATATGTTAGTGTATCAGATCTCCCAGTCTGATAGGCTCTCCACACATTCTACATTCTCTTTTTTTTAACACAAATTACAGGAAACAAACAGCAGGCCAGGCCTGTGCCCTCGGATATCGCGGTGATCATGTACACAAGTGGATCCACAGGAGTTCCCAAAGGAGTTATGATCTCCCACTGCAACATAATCGCTGGGATAACTGGAATGGCTGAGAGGATTCCAAATCTGGGGTACGTACCAACAGTTACTTACCAGCAAATAAAGAAGTCATGTAGTTGCATATGACTTTAGATTAATTATTGTGTAAAATATTAACTGTTTTATATTGCTTTGTCTGTGACACATCATACTATGCACTGATGTCTGAGCGTCTTCCAGTACTGCATTAAATGACATGACTACTTCATGTGCTGTTTGTTCTCTCATCTTCTGTATGTGGGCAAGACCGGGACACAAAAGCCTGTGAGGCCGCCTTGCACTAGAGTGGTTGAAAACTCCCTAAGCAGTACTTCCTTTGGTTAGTGTTAAATTCTGTGGTTTCTTTCTGTTTGGTTCAGTTTTTAATCTTGTCCACAGAGTTGCCTTTGCAACAATAATACATGGTTAATTGTCTTAGGATGAGTAAATGTCACACTTCGTTCATGTCTTAAACCTACAGTATGTAGTATGCAAATTTTGAAACAAAACCCATATTATTTGAAATATGTACTCAAGCTCAAAGGCATTTTTCCACTTTCTCTAGTTCTGCAGTAAGCTCTGTGTAAATTTAGCTTCATGACTCATCTGAGGACTCTAATGGTACAACATAAACGTATCTTTCAAAAATTCTTTACAGGGAAAAAGACATTTATATTGGCTATTTGCCTCTTGCCCATGTTCTGGAGCTGAGTGCTGAGCTCGTGTGTCTGTCTCATGGATGCCGCATTGGTTACTCTTCACCCCAGACTTTAGCTGACCAGGTATGTTGTAGATGTAAGCCCTTATGGTAAAAAAAAATAAAAAAAAAAAATTACATCAGATCTTTGTAATATTTCTTAAAAAATATTACAACAAATCTTTTCTACAATTCATGAAACAGGGTATTGGTGGTTATGACTGGTACTCTGGAGTAGTTTTAATTGTTAAAATATAATTTAAATTAAAACAAGTGTTTGAAACATGTGCTATGTCATTTTGTTTCTCATGTTAAAAATCTTGAATGTGTCTGCTAGTAAACTTGTTCTTCGGTTTAGTCCTCTAAAATAAAGAAGGGAAGCAAAGGTGATGTTACTACACTTAAGCCAACCCTAATGGCAGCTGTCCCGGTAAGTAACTGAAGGATAAATAATTTTAAAATTATTTTAAAAATATAATGCATAATTCAAAATTTTAACAACAAAATGAATGCAATGATCATGTAAATAAAAAAGGTAGAACCTTTGATGTTAAGCTAGCTTAAAATAATATTTTTGGTATTTATTTATATGTTGGGGATAAGCATTCATCATAATGAGTGTCAACATTTTTCAAAGTTTAAATAGCTATGGGAATTAGATTGCCATTTTAATTAGTCATCTATTGTTCATCATAGTAAACGAACGGAATGAAGATAGTTGGCAGCAGGCAGCTTGGGGTTAACTAGTGCTGCTGCTCAGATGTTTGCCCTCCTTCTTTCTGTGAACATCTTGCTATCTCTTAGCAATGGGCGAGGAAGCAACCTGGGAGTGGGTTGTCACCTGAAACATACTAGAATTTCTAGGTCATGTTTCCTTTTTGTTGTACTGAATTTGGGATTTCCGTTTCTTTTGAGTTAAAGTTAATCTTTTTATGTAACTAGGAAATTATGGATCGGATCTACAAAAATGTCATGAATAAAGTGAATGAAATGACTACTTTCCAGCGCAATCTATTTATATTGGCTTACAACTACAAAATGGAACAGATTTCCAAAGGTTACACTACCCCACTCTGCGATAGGTAATTTTAATTTTATTTTTAATGGCATCAAAAAAATGCTTATGAAAGTCTTACCACATGAGCAGTATCTGATTTTTTTTTGTGCTTTTCTTTGTTTTAATGTTGACACTTTGAACATGAACAAGTCTGTAACTAAGTGTAAATTGAAACAACAAATCAGTAGTTTGTGCGATGGTTTTAAATATTTACTGATATCATTTAAGTGAATGTTATTTAACTTGAAACTGATCGGAGATTTATATTAATTGCATTATTTTCATTAGGACTTTAATAACGGATTTACAGAATTCTTGGGTGAGATGGGAAGTCTATTCCTATAGATAACTGTAGACTTCACATTTTCACAGAAGTGAATCATAGAATATCTCAAGTTGGACGGAACCCATAAGGATCATCGAGTCCAACTCCCAACTTTAGTGAGACTAAAGGATAATATAATTGAAAAATTTATACAGCTTATTTAAATTATTTTAGGAGAAAATCAGAGAACTTCATGTTCTCAAAACATTTAGCCCATCTTCAAATTAGAATGTGGAAACAAGCTTAGAAATCTGTGCCTGTGTTTTCAGAAACTTAAATGTGATCCTCCAGAATTTTCTTTGAATGCCATAAAAATGTATTTGAAGATGGTGGAAACTTTCAGGTCAGATACAGAATTAGGTACTCTCTCATTTTGTTTTTAAGCAACAAATATATACTCTTATCTTTGCATTTTAGCCTTATTTTCCGGAAAGTACGAATGCTGCTAGGTGGAAAAATTCGCATCCTGCTTTGTGGAGGAGCTCCACTCTCTGCAGCAACTCAGCGGTTTATGAACATTTGTTTCTGTTGCCCTGTAGGACAGGGGTATGGACTAACTGAATCAGCTGGAGCTGGAACAATCACGGAAGGTTGGTGTCAGTGCATCCCACTGAGTGCTGTGATCTGTGCCGAGCGCTCTGCGTGTGTGATCTTTGACAGTCTATTCATTTGGTGTATGCCATCAAACGTAATTGGGGAATCCTGGGAATTACTTGTAATCATAAATGTATAAAACAGGAGGACTGCTAATTTTGACACATTGTGCTAAAGGTGGTGACCTACCTATAAAATGAATGTTCTCATTCGTGATAGAGAAACCTGTAATAGTGTGAATGGGATCTTGGCATTATTTCACTTACCAGTTGAACTGAATAAATTGTTTCTAGTTTTGGTGAGTACATTGAGAGGTTAGGAAAATAAAAAATGGAATGCAAAAGCCTGTGCCAGGTTTTAATTTCATATAATAGAACTTAAAGGTTTCAGTTGCCTTTTAGTCCTAAAATTTCAGTCATATTCAATGGTGGCAGAAACAGTCAGACCTGCTATTTTTTGGCAATAGTGTGATCTACCTAGGAATCATATGAGGAGTATCTAAGGTTCATTGCTAGATTACACTGGATTGTAGAACATGTGTTATGTTCCTTGGTGATCCACAAGCTGCTGTGATGTGGTTTTTATTCCAAGAGGTCTTTGGAAATGGCTTCTTCAGTAGCTTGGAAAAACAAATAGTGAAACTGTAATACAAATGATGTGGTCTCCGGTGATGCACTTTTGGGAAGGTGCGCAGAAGCAGAAGTGTTGGGGATTGAGACTTCAGGAAAGTGAATCAAAATATAGAATCCCTGAATTGTTATGAAATATTGCTACTTATTTCAGAGTCCAGCAAACACTATTTAAAGTTGTTGTGCTGCTTCTGAAGTGTGATCCCACATGGACAGCTTGCTGTCAAAGCTGTGTTGATATGACTGGAGGTATCTGTAAATACAGCCGTCTATTCTCTTTGCAGAATAAGGATTTTATCTGCATGACTTTGACAGATCCATTGGCTTTCTTGGAAGTTCTGTTCTATGAATTAAAGTTCAAGAAAAAATAGAAGTTAATTTTCACTAAATAAGATGCATGACAACAAAGATTTTTCTAATCAGTTATGATTTTTTTTTTTTCTGAAAAATGCTTTTTTTTTAAATTCTAGTTTGGGACTACACTACAGGGAGAGTGGGAGCACCTTTGGTCTGTTGTGAAATCAAGTTAATGAACTGGGAAGAAGGTGAGAATTCCTGTATGTGGTTAAATTATAGTGTGTTTGTAAGAACTTTATTTTTATTTTTTATTATTTTATTATTTATATATTTATTTATATTTTTTCTATTGGGCTTTGCTCAGTAGTAGTAATTAGAAGACTATTTCTTGGCTTTTTAAATTTTAAACACTACTCTCCCTATAAAAGTTTGATCTTGGGGGAGAAAAAAGGTAAAATAAATTCCTCGGTTTTTAAACTTAAAAATATCTAGAGAGAAGCTATCAATGCAAGTGGCATTTTGACTAGGTTGTATTATGACTCTCTTTGGCTATACTGTTTCTTTCATTCCAGTCACTATAATTGTATATGCATGTTGTGTAAATGTATACAGCATTGTACCTCTTACTGATCTAAATCAGAATTCTTGCAGGACAGGGTGCAGGTGTCGTATGTTGTGTCTTAGAGGTGCTGGATTCAGGAGGCTTCAACTGAAGTGCATGCATGATACCTTCTGTTGCCATTAAGAAATTATTTGAAAAGAGTCTTCATAATATTATTCTTAATAAAAACATTAAAAAATTGGCATATGGAATAGAATCACAGAATGCTTTGGGATGGAAGGGACCTTTAAAGGTCATCTAGTCCAACCCCCCTGCAATAAGCAGGGACATCTTCAACTAGATCAGGTCGCTCAGAGCCCCATCCAGCCTGTCCTTTATGTTTCCAAGGATGAGGTATCTACCACCTCTCTAGGCAACCCGTTCCAGTGTTTCACCACCCTCATTGTAAAAAATTTTTTCCTTGTGTTTAGTCTAAATCTACTCTCCTTTAGTTTAAAACCATGACCCCTTGTCCTGTCGTAGCAGGCCTTGCTAAAAAGACTATCCCATCTTTCTTGCAGGCTCCTTTTAAGTATTGAAAGGCTGTTATAAGGTGTCCTCGCAGCCTTCTCTTCTCCAGGCTGAACAACCCCAGCTCTTTCAGCCTTTCCTCATAGCAGAGGTGCTCCATCCCTCTGATCATTTTTGTGGCCCTCCTCTGGACCCTCTCCAACAGGTCCATGTCCTTCTTGTGCTGAGGACCCCAGAGCTGGACACAGTACTCCAGGTGGGGTCTCACCAGAGCAGAGCAGAGGGGCAGAATCACCTCCCTCGACCTGCTGGCCACGCTGCTTTTGATGTGGCCCAGGAGATGGTTAGCTTTCTGGGCTGCGAGAGCACATTGCCAGCTCATGTCCAGCTTTTCATCTACCAGTACCCCCAAGTCCTAAATATATTTAATGACATTTGGAATGTATTTAGGTGATTTCCTTTCATTGTAGGTTTTTATGTATTGTAGAGTAGAAATACGTAATACTTAAGGGTGTTTTGGGCTAATGTGAAACCTTATAGTTTTTTTCTTTCCTAAAAGATGAGGTGAATTTTTTTTTTTTTTTTTGATTCGAGCCTGTATGAAACGAATAGAGCATGCTGGTCCTAGCAGAAGGATAGCATAGAGGTGGCATTTGCCCTCTGCCTGCGTGATTTCACTGTTTGTAAACACACATGTTAAATGGGTGTTTATATGCTAAAAAGAATTGGAACCATCTCTTACTGACCTGTTTAGGCAAGTGGTAACTTTGGCTAAGGACACTAAAGTGTTTAGTTCTATATTTAAATAGTAAAAATAATAGGAATTCTTGCTTTGTAATATATTCTAATTCTTGTTAACTTAATAAAAACCATACTTTTAGGTGGATATTACAACACTGATAAACCATATCCTAGAGGTGAGGTTCTTATTGGAGGGCAAAATGTGACTGTGGGCTACTACAAAAATGACGTACGAACCAAAAAAGATTTCAGTGTTGATGAGAATGGGCAGAGGTGGCTCCATACTGGAGATATCGGAGAGTTTCATCAAGATGGATGTCTAAAAATTATTGGTAAGTTGTTAAATTCAGGTGAACATGTATATACATTTTTCAGGGCTGCTAAATACTGTAATTAACAACAACAAAAAAATCTCCGTATCTTGGCATGCAGGCTAAAGCCCTACTGCGTATCCCAGGGAAATTCTGGTATGTTAACATAAACCGGATTGTGTGTTTTAAAAGCTGAATTTTAAAACAATTATTTCCTTTTAAAACAGTCTTAACATTGACTCCACTCTGTTAGTGAGACTGGGTAGTAATTAGAAAGTTAAATATAGAATAATTGAGCTAGATGCTTCTGATTTTGTAAGTGTGGAATCTGATTCAGTGAAAGGACTCTTTTGGTAATATGTGCTCAGGAATTAAATAAGTCTGTTTCTAATCTTGCCATTCTTTATAATAAGAATATCCCCTTATCATAAAGGAACTAGGGGAAAAATAGATTAAGGTAAAGGTGTTCTACATAAGCCTGTGATAGGCTCATAATTCATTGACACCTGTAGGCACAAAAATAGGTGCCCTATAAACTACCAGCTGTCTCTCTTGATGTCAGTGAGTGATTCAGGGTGCTCTTTAATCCTGAAAACTGAGCTTAGTTGGTTTATTATGAGAAAAATCTTAGGTCCCATTGTGGCTGCCTTGCAGTGGTCAAACAGGTCAGACAGCTACAAAACTACCTTGCCTGGTTGCACAAAGCAGCGTGAAGGTATATAGCAAAGGAGAGCTCCTGGCTTGCATCACAGCTAGGTGGGTAAGGCCCTGTAGTCACCTTCGCCTTCTTGGAGCTACGTACAATAAGCTCAAGTAATTTGGGCTTAATTTTTCATTCCTATTGTTGTGTTTTGAATAGCAGGTGGTCTTTAAATATGGATTTAGCCTGGGAATAAATAACAAAATGTCACCAAATGGTGCGTCTCCTGCCTTAAGCGTCTGGACCAGACAGCACAAAATGTGTACTTCTAGCCAAACACTGGCTTTTGCATAATGCTAGTTGTCTTCCATTCACGTGACAGTGCTGTCATATAGGAAGTGCTGTTCTAAAGGCAGAAAACGCATGGAATTGAAATGTGTCTCATTTTTATGTGAGGGACAGATTGATAAAACACAAAGTCTGGAAACCTGATATTAAATGTTTCTGGTATGTTCACCAAACATGAGTCGGCTTACCTTTTAGCATTTATGCATACATTTAGGAAAAGTATAAAATCAGTGTCTGAAGTTTTGTGTTCTGTAATTAACATTTACTTCCTTTTTTCCTCAATAGATCGTAAAAAAGATCTTGTAAAACTCCAGGCAGGAGAATATGTTTCTCTTGGCAAAGTAGAAGCAGCTCTAAAGAATCTTCCACTGGTAGATAATATTTGTGTATATGCAAGCAGGTAAGAGGCAGCTGATAACTTTTAGTGCTGTATTCTGTGTCTGTCCTACTGAAGCCATAAGCAAAATTTTTTGCTACTCAATGTGTGGAATTTTTAAAACCAGTTGAAAAAGGATTTTACTTTTAATACAATGGAATAACTTTCTCTATCAAAACTAAAACATCTGAAATGTATGGTTTTATTTTTCTTTTCCCATTTCTTTCATCTTTTGGAAAATGCCAAGAATGAGTCATTCATTACCTTTTCCCCACTCAGAAAAGCAGCTAAGATCTTACTGCATTCATAACAGACACCACTCAAGCACTTCAGAGATTATTACCTATAGAAGCCCTAGGACACCTTGTTCCTTGCTGTATTTAGCTGTGATCTCTTCTTCAGAGGAAGTACTGTTGTACTTCAGAGGAAGGCAGGGGACAAAAACACCAGCAGCCCAGAAAGCTGGCTTGCGCATTAAAAACACTTTCTTTAACCCCTGCAGTACACCAGCAGAAGCCTTGAAGCTTGAGAGAAAACGCTCTGTAAATACTATGCAAACACACAATTAATAAATGATGATCAAATGTCCTTTCTATTTGCTTTCTACATGTACTACTGAATTAGGCATATAAGGGCTTAAACATGTCTTAGGTTTCTATTTCTAGAATTTCCTACCTGTGCGTAATACAGACTTGCATGTATAAATATAGTTCAGGTGGTCTTTGTTTCCTGTGGTCATTTTGATGTTTGGAAAGTAATTTTGGAGCTTCTGAACGATCAGAAATACTCCGATTTCCAGTATGGCCAAAAAAGCCCCACTTGATAACTTTGATTGAAAGAGGCCAGGACAAGCATACTAGAGAATTGCTCAGTGGTAATAAATAGAAAACTAACTTTTGGTTTGTTCACCTGGTTCTCTGTGGTACTTTTTTATGCTAACTGATGGTAGTCATCCTGTAACTTCAGTTTTGACAGTTCTGGATCAATAGGCTAACGTGCATTGAGCACGCCACTGCTGAGAAAACTTCTATTATATTAAGCTTTATTTGTGGTTTTGACCTATTGGGTGAATCCCATGTTTGCTTGCTTTGACTGCCTGAGGTTATGTGCCTGTTCTGAGTACCCTCTCTAGTCTATGCAGAAAGAGGTTCCTACAGATGGTGATTTCTGCTGTTCCAGGATTGAAGTACACTGTTGGAATTGTACTATGAAATTTTGTGTTAATTTTGCCAGGCCAACATAACATTGGAGGCGAAAATGCACTTGTCAGACAGGCACTTGATTCTGATAGTCTGCGTCTTGTCTGTTACTTAAAAACAGGAAAACCTATGAGCAATTTTTAAAAGTAACTTACAAACAAAGTCCAAGTACATTCCAGATTGTTTTTGCTGCTGCTGCTGTATTTCTTTTTAATACTTTCATGTCTGTAATTTGGCATAAGTAGCCATGTAATACAGATTCTCTGAATGATTGTCCATATGCACATTTCATTGTGGGTATAGACTCACCTCAGCAGTGTGAGCTAAGAGACTTTTTGTTAGCAGTGCCTATGACCTCTCATGTCCTGTCTCTCCTTATACTTTGCCTAGGTGATTTAGTATGCAAGAGGAGTCCCTCATTTGTAGCTGTTCTGTCTCCCACATGCAAAAGGACAAGGAGGGCAGACTCTTACAAATGGGTTAAATCTGTGATTTGACCTTCAGTCTTGGGGTGCAAAGCTCCTCTGAACATGGTAGTAGGGAATCAAAAGTGTTTGCACGATATCACTGCTTCAAAAGCTATACTAATTCACCACTTCAGACAAAATACTCTGTGAGATAAGGAATAAAATATTTTCTGAAAGGAATCATGATTACAGCTCCTTCAGAGGAGACTCCTACTGCTTTATCAGCACTTCACCCATCCAAGATGCATTCACTGGGTCTCAAGCATCATGTCAGGAAAATGAGTAGTTCAGTGACCTGAGGAATGAGCAAACATGGCAAAAAACCCAAGGGAGTTCTCGGCAGGAAGCTCAAGGAGAGCTGTTAAGGACCAGACTTTACAGAATAGAAATGGTGGTATCAACATGTAGTGGCACTATGTATGTCTCTTACCATAGGTCTGAGGGCTCTACTCAGGTAGGATCACAGCGAGGGAATGAGGATACCTAGTGTAGGAGAAATGTTTTGGCAAAATCTCTTAGCATGGAGATGACGACTAAGGAGGTCCTGAGGACCAAATTCTGAAAATTTCTTCCTTCATGCTGTTGCTATGACCTCCAAGACTGAAGAAGCTAGCAAATTCAAAAGATCTGCAGAAGGAACAGTAGCGGAGAGGGAAGTAGCTGCTCCACAGAGATGATGTAGTCTTCAGGATACTTCTGAAGGCAAACAATGTTTTAGCATTTGAACTGCAACAAATGAAGATTTAACTTAGTGGTGCAGAATGAAAAGCTACGCGTTCCAGGAGCTTTCCACGAAAAAGCATAGTTGGATGAGCCTATTTGTCCAGAGGAAGTATGCTTCTACCCAAGAGGCTGAATTTTAGATGAACCGAAAGTTTGAGGCTTTACCCAGCCAACTGATTACTTCTATATGCTGTTTATCCCTGGAGACACTGGTGCTATTGGTGGACATGACCTTAAGCATGTCAAAAGACTACAGGAACCGGGATGAAAGTGCCAGAGTCCTTTGTGTTCTGGATACCTTCATACATAATAGGGAAGCCTGCCATATGAGGATAGGCTGAGAGAACTGGGCTTGTTCAGCCTTGAGAAAAGAAGGCTTAGAGGTGATCTCATCACCATGTACTTAAAGGGGAGCTACAAAGAAGATGGAGACTCCCTTTTTACAAGGAGTCACATGGTGAGGACAAGGGGTAACGGGTACAAGTTCCTCCCAGGGAGATTCCGATTGGACACGAGAGGTAAATTTTTCACAATGAGAACAGTCAATCATTGGAATAATCTCCCCAGGGAAGTGGTTGACTCCACTACGCTGAACACATTTAAGACTCAGCTGGAGAGGGTGCTGGGCCATCTCGTCTAGGCTGTGTTCTTGCCTAGAAAGGTTGGACCAGATGATCCTTGAGGTCCCTTCCAACCTGGTGTTCTATAATATGTATACATTACATACAAAACTGCAATGTACAGTAACCAAAAGGGTATTTAGAGTTAGTATGCTAAAATTATCTTGGAGACCTTAAAAGATAAGCTAAAGTAATCTCCATACTGGGGTTAAGGTTCTGTATTTTGCATTAATGATCTGTCTGGTGAAAGAGACAGTTGAAAAGATTTAATAGATCTGTAGATGGTTAAGGTGGGACAGGACCAAAGGTACCGTGGAGGACAGGATTAGAATTCAGAGCAAGCTTGACTAGATGGAGATTTGCTTGAAAACAGCAGTCAGTTTAAAGAGGAGAAATGTAAATTATACTTACACCTGCATAAACTGCAAAAATACAGGATGAGGACCACCAGCTGGTAGCAGTTCTATAGGAGCTGACATGAGTCAACAAGTGCCATGCTGTTATAAGAAGGTAAATAATATGGCTGTTGTGGTTTAACCCTGCAGGCAGCTAAACACCACACAGCTGTTTGCTCACTCCCCTCCTCCCCAGTGGGATGGGGGAGAGAATCAGAGGGGGGAAAGTAAAATTTGTGGGTTGAGAAAAACACAGTAAAAGAACAGAAAAGAAAAAGAAAATAATAATAATATACAAACCAAGTGATGCACAATGCAGTTGCTCTCCACCCACTGACCGATGCCCAGCCAGGTCCTAAGCAGTGGACCCCTGGCCAGCTTTTCCCCTAGTTTATATGCTGACCATGACGTCACATGGTGAGGAATAGCCCTTTGGTCAGTTGAGGTCAGCTGTCCCAGCCGTGTCCCCTCCCAGCTGCTTGTGCACCCCCAGCCTGCTCGCTGGTGGGGTGGGGTGAGAAGCAGAAGAGGCCTTGACTCTGTGTAAGCGCTGCTCAGCAGTAACTAAAACGTCCCTGTGTTATCAACAGTATTATCATGCTAACGTTATTCTTAAATCCAAAACACAGCACTATACCAGCTACTAGAAGGGAAAAAAAAAAAAAAATAATTAACTGTATCCCAGCCGAAACCAGGACAATGGCATAATCAGATGTATAGCCTGCAAAGATGCACAATGATCTTTTTGCTCTACCAAGCATTAAAGGGTCTGAGTTCCACATGCAACGTTTCAGAAAAGGTGGATCTCTTGAAGAGTCCAGGAGAAAAATGGGAATGTCTGGGCAGATCTGTGATGCATGACTTAGGAGGAAAGGGCATTGCTTAAGTTCCTAAAGAGATTTAAGAAAGGAAGGAAGACTAGAAAGGTGAGAAGGAAAAAAAAAAAAATAATAGTAACAGTCTGTGAACAAATAAATGGTTTCTGTGGAAAGGAGAGGAACATCTGATTATTGGCTGTATGAAAATACAACTGATGTAAACTGCAGAGAGGAATAGCCATCAGGAGCAGCTTAGCAATGCTAAGAATAACAAAGCATTGCCTGATGTTTAAGAATGGGTTGGACAAACATCTGTTAGATGTAGCTGACCTTGCTTCAAGGCAGGTGAATGAATTAGATGATCTTCTGAGGTCCCTTTCAGCACTCCGATTCGGTGATCTGCTTTGTTAGAATGTGTAAAGTTGCTATGAGAGGTTCTGTTCACATTTTCCCCTAAACTTCACACCATCTGAAAAATCTTGAATACCTGTTTCAAGGTGAGCTGCGCTTCAGTGTTTTCCAAAGACTTTGAGATCAGAGCTTCGTATGTTCTAGGCATATCAGGAGCAGACAAAGATTGCCAACAGTAGAGTGAGCGTATGGACAATCACTTGAAGGAGAAAGAGAAGTCACTTCCCTTACAGAAGCAGGCGTTCTTTGAGATGTGTTGTGCATATGCTCATTCCACAACCTGCTCTCCAACCCCTCTTCACTGCAGTCCTCTACTCCTCTACAGTAACTGGATTCTGCAGTTGAGAGGAAACTGAGGTAGGGAAGCCGCACACCAGTCTTCATACCGGGATGCAAAACATGAGGAGAGGCAGGGCGCATTGACATCGTATGGGTACTGCTTCCCCAAAGCTTTGAGCATGAGACACAGTGGAATATGCATATGGACAGCACACCTTGAAGCAAACCAGTTGCTGTAAGGTAAGTAGCTTCTCTTTCTACTTATTTTTAAGCAGGCAAAGGCAATTTGTGTACTATTTCAGAAGGATTATCAGGTGAACAAAAGCCAACTGTTAAGAGCAATATCTCTGTATGAAGTGCAAACCCCCCAACTTGAAATGTTATTTTTGAAGACTTGTTAACTTTACAGAATTCGTACTAAAGTACATTATACTTCTCAGTTTCCATTCTTATGTCATTGGATTTGTTGTGCCAAATCAAAAGGAGCTCGCAGAACTAGCTCGAAAGAAAGGATTTAAAGGAACCTGGGAAGAGATCTGTAACAGTCCTGAGATGGAAAAAGAGGTACTAAAGGTGCTAGCTGAGGCTGCCATGGCAGGTGAGTAGCTGGGTAGATAGTATTAACCTTGTGGACTGTAATGTCTGTGAAACAGATAAGGAAATATTTTTAGGGCTTATGCTTGAGTGTGTATATGTCATAGAACTTATATGAAGTGAAATTTTCATACAAAAAAACCCAACAACAAAACATGAGTTGGGTCAGTCCTTTTGATTCATGTAACTTTTTTTTTTTTACCATGACCAATAGCTGAGGAAAGAATATAAAAACAGGGGAAACTTAACAAGCCCAGTTCAGTTCCAGAGAGAGAATGGGAGGGAGGTGTCTGGTGCTTTTTAAGATGTCCTGTAGTATCTTTTTGGCCTTAGCTGCTGGTCCAAAAGAATGTGGGTCACCTGTAGATCCATCATGTGTGTGCTGGGTATCATACAGTCTCACATGTTATGTACCTATGCAAAGTTGAAATATGCCCATGGTGACAGGGGCTCTCCTATCTTCCAGTGACTTGCATCTGAGGGATTTCCTAAACTGAAAGCAGTCTTTGTAGTTCATAATTTTCAGTAGACTTTTCTTCCACTAACTCTTCTAGTTGTGTTTTAAAGTTACATAAATATTCTGTATCGGTATCCGTACAATCTTGTGGCGGAGTTGCACAGCTCAGCTACGTTCATGTGAAGAAATGCCTCTTGTTTGTTGTAATCCTGCCATCTGCGAGTTCAACTTGGTTCTGCCGAGCTCTTGTATGGGAAGAGGCAGTGAACAGTCACAATGGCAGTCGTGATTTTTTTCAGTGTCTATTATACTTCCCCCTCAGCTGTATCTTTTTCATGCTAATTGGTCGTAGTCTATTTAGCTATTCTGGTGCAGAACTAAAGTGGCACAGTGATATTTTGTTTTTTCTTTCATCATAATTTCTGCCTTGTTTCTGCTTTTGACCATTACTAAGCACTGAGCTTTTTTCATAAAGCTGTCTGTTATGACCACAGAATGTTTTTAAAATGGTCATTGTGGGTGTTAAATTTGTTTTTCAAATGCATTCTCTTTTACACTTTTCTGCAATGAATGTTTTCTGCTGTGTGTTTTGCAGTCACTCAGTATCATGATGTCCTTCTGCACCTCTTTGCAATTTGTTCTTATTTTTTCCACCCTGGATAACTACGCTTCCAACAATTTTTGCCTTGTTAATCTTCATCTCTTCTCCATATTACTTGTGAATATATTAAACTCTATGATTAGTATATTCGCAGCCTTCTGTTACAGGACCATACTCTTACGATGTGGGCAAAGTCATTCTAAGAAGCTGCTGCAATGGAGAGCACCTACAAAGTCAATTTCCTTTTCTGTTTTGTGCAGCACTAACTATTCTGAAGAGAATTAAATACATTGTTAAAATTGATGAAATGGAATATTTGATTTCATCCTGAGGCATTTTTACACATTTTGATGTTATTTTGTATTTGTTCTTGTTTTTCGCTTTGGTATCATAGGCTTTACTTTTAAAATAATATGATTTTTAGTGCTAAATTGCAAAAAAACCCAAATGCAGTTATTTAAGGTCAAGGGGAGTAAAAGGTGCAAGAAAATCTAAAAATGGCAGGTTGCACAGGATAATTATACATTTTGGATTTTTTTTTTTTCATTTAAGCTGAAAATAGTTTTGTTTTTTTTTAATATTGCCCATCTATTGATTACTTTTCTTAGTTATTTGGTTTTCTAACCACGGGGGGTTTGAGGAGCACTTCATTTATGTCATGTGCTTTTCTGCATGAGAATACAGTTCTGCCTTTTGTGCTTAATTGTAAAAAAAAAATGGTTACATTTACATTTTGTATTAAAAATGTTTACTTTTACAGCTAATCTGGAGAAGTTTGAAATACCAGTAAAAATTCGTTTGAGCCCTGACCCTTGGACCCCTGAGACTGGTCTAGTGACAGATGCGTTCAAACTAAAACGCAAAGAGCTTACAGCATACTATCAAATGGACATTGATCGAATGTATGGAAAAAATGTAAAATAATTCTTTTCTGCACCACTTTGCTACAATGAGCTTGGATCAAATAGGAAATACTTGAATTGCCTGTCTCAACACTTGAGATCAACACACAAACCCACCATTCCTCATTTGTAGCTTAAACTGTTATTTCTGATAACGCCACCATGATGACTGGCAAGTTTAGTAAAATGTTACGGCAGCAAACTTGTGTCTGTCTCCTTTTTTCCAGTTTTCTCTGCTACCTTGTCAGTCTGTGGATTTTCCCGAGTCTTTTTGGGAAACCATGATTCTGAAGCCTCAAGTTTTTAAACATTTATAAATCCTGTATAATGTTTTATTTGTATCTTTAAAATTTGGATGTATATAGCGAGAACTTGGCTATATAAGAGATGGTTATACTGGGGGCCTTTTTTTTACCTAATTATTTAAAGATAAGAAGGTATTGATGTTGTGACATTATGTACATTGAAAATGCTTGTAACATTGTTGAACAGAGGACCAGGTTATTTGCTGCTGTGCTATTTTTCTATGTAAATCTGAGGGAGATGATGTTTGACATTCCAGTTTGTGTAATACACCTTCGATATGTGCCTAATGGTTACTTTTATTTTTATCTGAAAATGAAAAAATGGTCATGGCACAGCTCTGCATAAAGGCAGGTACTCTTGCAGGTGTTAGTTAAAGCTTGTTTAATACAAAAGATGCTATTAACACAGCAGAATTTAAACCTACGAATAATCTCTCAAACACAGAAGCTCGTTTTTTAAATAGCTCATGACCATTTCATCCAGTAGTTGCGTTGTGTAAAGCTAATAAGAACTCTCAGCATTAATTTCACTTAACGCTTTGTAAGTTTGATAGTGTCCTTTTAACAGAGGGACTGTAACAACTTTTGTCTTTTCTCGTTAGCTTTGGACGTTACACTGGGTTTGCTCTTTCGTTGTTTGTGAAAGTCTGGCAAGACCCCTGTTCTGCCCTAGCTGCAACCCAAATCTTACTGGGGGGATTTTTAAAGTCATAATGACAGTTATGTTCTTAGCTCACACAGTGCCTAGCTGCCCTTTGTGCCATTAAAAATCTCCCTTTGATTCTTTGTTCTTTTGTTTAGCATTTTTTGCTTTAAAAACAGATATTTGAAGTATTTGTCAGCCAGAGTTATTTATGTTACTTGGTTTGTTACACCCAATTCTTACTTCGGGAAGGAGTCTCAATTTCTGTTTATGTGAATATTGTTTGAAGACCTATGGGGGATCTTTTCTTCTTCAGTGAGAGTGTTTAGATTTGTTTCAGATGTGAATTTTATTTTCAAAATATTTCTAGAAAGAATATTTTAATCATGGTTACATGAGAATGTGAAAAGGCATACATCAGTCGACTTTGTGATGGAGCAAATATTAAAATGGCTTTAATTTGGAGATTATTCTCTCATGTGTATCATTTACTTGTAGTACTAAAATTCAAGGCCTTGATGCTGACTTAGTACCGTACTATGGTAGCATATAGCAATTCTGAATGGCAGAAGCTTTGTTTGGGGGAGGGAGTTCCTGCTGTGGTAGCATTTGTGACATGGGAGTTTTGGGAGGTGTTTGATATACAAATTCTCATTAAAAAAAATTCTAAAATGTTATTTAAATTGACACTGTCCATTGATTATACAAAGCAGTTTTCATAGGAGTCAAAAGTTATCAAGTAGGTTCCCTGTACTTTAGCTTTGATGAAACGATGAGAAGGTTTGTGCGGTATTTTATGTTACCTTACCATTTCTCCCGCTATTCGTGGGTTTCCCCTGCTGCTGTCTATGAAAAACTGTTACAATTTGGTGAATTTTGGTGTAACTAGTCAAATGGAAATACAAGCAACAAAAAGAAATCAGAACCACGTTTACGCAATTAATGCCTTCAGATATCTAGATCATAAATTAAAACCTTTTGGCAAATAGAGATAAGACTAATGTTGGAAAATGGCTGAAGAATCTGAATGTGGAAATTGCCAAGTCTGTAGGGAAGTGTCACACTATATATTAGACATTACCAATACTTAAGTACGTATCTGTGCTCCATCAACAGGTTGTTAAATAGTTTGCACTCAGCACAGGATCTACATTGTTCAAATATTTTTTTTGTGATTTTTAGTGAAAATTTAATAAATTGCTGAAGCACTATGTGTATCACTTGGTGCATTGTGCAGCAGATTTAAGAAAATAAATCTGCTTTTGGTTAATTCAAAAGAAATCTGAAGTTAGTATTTTATTCTGCTAAGGGTTTAAATCCACTTTTGGATAAATTGCATAAGTGAAACTTCTAAAATGGTTTGGAAATAGTAGTTTTATTTTTTCTTATAATCCAGTCACAAGATTGGGTTGCAGTCTAACTGTGCATTTGATTTTACAGGTCAGGTTTTTTTATATTTAAAATGGATGTCGTTACATTTAGTTCCTGCTTCTTAGACATCAGATTCATTGTGGACATTTATTTCTTCTACAGAATGTGAAAATAAAGCAGTTCATGAATTTTAGCCTCAGCATTGAAGATAGACTTCTAAAATATTTGTATGGGCTTAAAATATTTGTGATGAGTATGTTTTTTCTCTCTATTTATAACAAAAGACAGGCTTTAGTACTGCTAGATTCTGAGTACTCCCATGTCCCGGTGAGGCCACCTGCCCCGTGGGTGCCCACGCTTCTCATTAATGGACCAGGGCTGTAATGGGATGGTAAGTCACGGTTGCTGGTCAGATGCAGGGCTTCCTTGCTCCGGCAGTCTTAGTCCTGTAGACTGCAACGCCTGTCAGGTACTTTTGGCTGCCACCATGTTCTCACCCTGTGCTCTTGCATTGCTGAGCAGAAAGATGACTTTAGGGGAGTTTGTTGAAACCCTGCATAGGTGCATGGCATGCCAGCCAGGAATTTACCTGGTTTCTACTTTTTTTTTTGTTCGTTTGTTTGTTTGGGGTTTTTTGTCTGCCCATGCCCAGTGTAACAAGAACAACAGACGTACCTGCTGGAATGTATTGCACGTGTCCCAAAGGCTGCGGACAGCTGTAGAGTGAATTGGGAGCAGTGCATGTTGGAAGTAACGGTCTCTGTCACGTGGGGAATTTTGTAGAATGGAAAAAGCCGTAACTTTGGGACAGTCTTTCTGAGTTCAAACTAAGAACAAGGGGCATATACCTCACCTAAGGGGCCCCAAAAAGGGGGGGGATTTTTAACAAAGCTTTTGTAAATATAAACTTTTCAGGACTCTGAGTCATTGGCAATTGTAACTACTACTTCTGTTGTGAAAATTTACATATTTCCTTATAAAAAATGACTGAGCAAGAAATTCCAAGGATGCTGTAAATCTCCTTTAAATTCCTACAACTATTTAAAAACATTTCAGGACTTTAGGATAAACTCAATCTAGATGTCATAAGTGTTCTTTGCAGAGAATAGTGTTTCTGGAGTAGATTAGGAAATTAAAAAATGACATGTCGGAAAAGACCTTGTGAGTTTACTGATGCTGCTGCGACTGCAGTTTACACACAAGCAGGACCATACCTCAGTGGGAAGCTGCATCTTAGCAGTAAAATATCTTGCTGAAATGAAAGTGAAAAACAATGTGCAACTGAAACTAAGAACATAATGCATACCTGCATCCTACTGGTTTTATAGGTAGGATGCAGAGATGGGTATGGAATTGAAACCATACATTAAAAACATCCTGTAAAGCTTGTAAGTTTATGCAAAAATTGCTATAGGACACAAGACTCCTTTGCAATAACCTTTATCCTGCTAAAATTCACAAGCTTTTATTCTGTACTAAAACTACATTTAGGTGATGCAGCATTTTTAATTTTTATTAATGTGATGTATTAACTACTTTGGACTGGGTATAAAATTGTGTACGTCTGTTTCTTTACTGGCAAGAGGAACAATCTTCAACTTGCATACACCTTGGGCCAGGCTGAAACGTTAATTGAATGACCAGTTGTACATTATTGTAATTGGTTATTTAATGTAAACTCATTTTCAATGTGATCTTGGTTGTTACTATGAACTGCCTGAACATTGTATATCCTAATTGAGTTATATTGTATGAATTATTTATTTGTAATTGGATATCATGTTTCAAAAATAAAATTTAATTTCACAAATCAGGCCCCATACGTCCAGTTTTTTAAGTGGCATTTCATTTTTATCTGTCCGAGCCTAGGTAATTTACGGTTGTAAATTAGTGAACTTAAATCACGTTAGTCGAGTCCCTGGCTGTTTAAGAAGGGTAGTGGGTTAGGATAGTTCAAGATGTTGCATTGCCAGGAAAACCGGTTTGCTGGTGGGCACGTCCTTTTGTTTTGCTGCCTGCCTCGCGTTGCTGGTAATCTTCTGCCGAGGGCTGCGTCCCTGCGGGGTGTGTGTTTGGTGTCTGGGCGGGTTTCTACAGTCATAGCCAGGTGCTTGTGCTTTGCAGGTAGCGAATACTCTGGTTGACTCATCGGCCGTTTGTGCTATACCGGTATTGCTGATGTATTTTTCTGTATGTTAATATTGTTGGTAGTGAGTTTATGTATCTGGACTGGGTAGTAATCACCCTTATGTGCAAGGCTTGCTAATTCAGGAGTAGAAATGATACCTGATAAAGTGGGAATTTAGCCAACTTGTGTCTTTTGAAACTATAATTACAAATCTTGTCAAATATTCAAAATAAATGTGATGGTTTCAAGCTTAATGCAGGAACACTAGTTATCAGGTTAACGGGGTTTTCCACTACAGGAAAGTTACCATTCTCCTTTGTCTATTTTATTTGCATATGATTTGCCATTTACCCTTTTGTAAGAGCACCCACTATGGTAATACCTTACGTAAAGCTGTAAGCTTCTGACTTTTTTTTTTTTTTTTTACTCTCCAGGTATACTAGGACTTACATTTTGTGTTTAATTTTCCTTCAGTTTGTGGGCTGAAGGGTCAGATCCCAAAGAGATGTTGAATGCTTGCACTTGGACTTCTTAAGAGATCTTGAGCACTTAAATTGCAGGTTTTGATGACCAGCTCACAAACGGTTGCTGGGTAACCATCCAACCTGGAGGCATCTCAACTTAACAGATGCTGCTTTTTCTTTTTCTTTCTTTTTTTTGCGTCTTTATTTACAGGTTCCCCAGATGCCTAGGGTCGTAGTGCTGGCTAAATGTCAAGCCTTCCCTTCTGCATAGCTGATATTTTTTTTTTTTTTTTTTATTCCTTTAATCAACCATGAGAAGGCTCCAGCTTCCTTCTGATTTTCAGTTATATTCAAAGTAGTCGTTTGTTTTCTTTTCTTCAAAAATCCTGGTTTGTGGGGTTTTTTTTTAAGAATGAAAACTTTCAATTTCAAATTCGTTTAGGAGAAT